TGGCACTTCAGGGCATGCTCTAGTGCCCAAGATGGTTGTTTTGTGTCTGTTTGTAGGTTGGTGGTTTTTTTGGTTTGATTTGGTTTTTTTGTGTTTGGACTTGATGATCTCAGAGGTCCCTTCCAACCATGAAGATTCTGTGTGATTCTGTGTGTGAAAAAAGGCCAAAAAAAAGAAGGCAAAGGCAAGTAGCTGGTATGGAGGGACTGGGCTTGATGGGTGCGAAGCCCCGCATTCAGGACGCTCTTCTCTGTCCCAGCAAGGAGAAACTCTTCAAAAAGACATACAGATCATTTTAGATGCTTAGTATATACAGGTTGCCCAAATAGTAATTTAATGCCCAAAGTGGTGGGTGGGCTGTAGAGACACCGGGTGGGAAAGCCACCTCTGCGCTGGTACTGACGGCTTCCATCCGGACCAGAATCCCATAGACTTAAAGATAATAAAACTCTTTACCAGGTCAGAGGAATTTAAATGCTGGAATTGGGCACGAATGGTGGCTTACAAGCATCTGAAGTGCTCCTAATACACGGTTTTACAGTCATCTTAACGCGAAGATTGTGACTGTGAGAGTCGTCCCCGGCTACTGCCGTCAGAGGGGAGCGAGCGAGCCTAAGCCGTTTCCGAAAGCTTATCACGAGTTCCCACAGGAAGAGATATGAATGGCATGAAAATATTACACTTCAAGCAGAGAGATTTAGGAGGCAGGCGAACCACGCCGAGGAGCTGCGGTGTGGAATATTCGGTTGTCAAAATAACGCCGCGCCGGCCGCATCGACGTGTCAGAGCCAGAGTGACAGCAGACGTCAGTGCCATGGGCTCGGGATGGGCCTGGAGGGAACAGGACAGGATGGCTTCCCAAAGACGGACAAGAAGAAAGCCCTTCTAATTTGGGTTCATTGCTCTGCAAATGCGGCTCGTCCAGATCATCTCCGTTGCAGGAGCTCGTAGGACACAGCTAGAGGAGGAGGTAAGGGGAAAATAATAACACGGAAGGTGCCGATCACAAGGGGATGATGTGTAGGTATCAGAAAGACAGCGGTCTTCTGAGCCAGGAATATCTGTTTGGGAATAAATAACAGGCTATTGCTGTTTCAAGCGTAAAGGACTTAAAACATGAGCAGGTATTAAGAGCTGCATGACTCCTATATCGCTTTGTGCCTTTATCATCAAGTTGCAGCCTAATAACGTGGGTCTGAAGCTTTGCTGAGTACCAGGGGTGACCATATGTGATCGGCTCTGAAAAAACATCTCCAAGACAGTCTTTTTCATTTATAGATAGTTGGGTATTTCTGGCAGTTCTGTCCCTGTATCACTGCATCTTGAAAAGAGAAAATAATTATTCTCATATATGGATAAAATGCCCTAAAAATTACTTTTTTGTAATGAATGTTTCTTGTTAAAATCCGTATCTATGTAGAAAACCTAAATCAGCAGCAAAAGTGGCAAAGTGGAAAACCCAGCTTCTCTTCCCTGGCATAATTTTGCTTTCCCATGACATCAATAACCAGAGCCAGGTCTTTGCCGAGTCCTTCACGCTTCTCCAGCACAGAAACTAGTTTCTTGGCAGAGTCTGAAGTCCCAAGGAAAAGGAGAGCTGCTCGTCACTCAGGGGCAGTGAGAGGCTGGAGTTCTCACGTGTGGCCCATTGCTGCCTCGCGGCGTTGCAGGATGCAAGATGTACACTCCAGGTGATTTCTAGCAGCGCCACTTTCTATCAGCCCTTTCTGGTAAGGTGTACCAGGTGGTGAAGGTGTTGACCATCCTTTGCCACCTCCAAATCTGGACAGAATAATGAAATTCCTCACCAGCGTTTTGTAGAACTTAAATTTCTTTCTGAGATTAATTTAATTAAGAATTTCAGTTTCAAATTGCTAATTGAAATACTCTGAAAATTCCTTTTTTCAGTCTGGGAATTCTTTTTTTCAGTCAGCACTGATTTGTTTCACTAATTACAAGCCAGAAGTTTGGCGTTTTCCATAGTGAGATTGCACAAACAATCTTTGATTGAATTAACTTCAGGGAGGAGGAAGAGGCAAAATTGTTTTAACTAAGGCATGCATTTGTGAAAATTTTATCTGTTCCCCAGATGTACTTGGGAAGATGAAAGGAATAAATTGTTCTTGGTACCCAAGTTCAGGCTTGGCCTGTTGCAGTTGCACAGTGTTGACAACAAAAAGTGGCAATACAACCAGGCATTAATTTTTGCCTTTTTTTCCCCCCCTATTTATTCTGTTATCATCAGTGTTTAAGAGGCATTTGGACAATGCCCTTAACAACATGCTTTAACTTATGGTAAGCCCTAAAGTGGTCAGGCAGTTGGACTAGATGATTGTTGTAGGTCCCTTCTAACTGAAATTTAATTCTATTCTGTTCTGGTCTATTCTGTTCTGTTCTATTCTATTGTAAAGAGTGGGGGTCACCTGCAGGGATGAACCAGTTGCAGTGATTTGGGTCTGGCTGTGCTGGAGAGGGGCTGGAGTGCTGTATCCCTCTTGCCTGAAGAGCTGTGGAAGCCCAGAATGTGAAAGGCAGAGTTTTAAGGTGATGATGCCTCAGCTGGGTTTGAGGGGGGAGAGCAAATCCTCACCCAAATCAGATGAGAAATTCATTGGCTGCAGTTGTGGGGGAGCTCGTTGAACTCACCTGGAGCTGCCATACCTGTCAAACTCACCCCAAAGCCGTGGTAAGGATGGGGCCTGTGAAGACATGGACCCTTCTGGGGCAGTGACATCTTTGCAGTTCCCCTGAGGCACCTCGATTTGTAAAGGGCTGCAAGTAATGAGCTGCAGGAGGAAGGGTGGGAGCGGGGGGGCCATGGCCTTGTGGCTGGCCCCTCTCCCCTTTGAAGGGATGTCTGCACCTGTGGCCGCGTGTGTGTGCATGCAAAGCTTCGGAAATTTCCATTTTAATAAAAGCAACCTTGGAGGAGCATGAGCAATAACCTGTCTGCTCTTTGGCACTGACAGTTTGGTTGTCCTGTAAAATGAGATTTTTTGCTACCCCAGCGCAGTGATCTTGTTATCAACTCCAGCTTACATCAGCATCCTTTATTAGAAGACAGCAGAAATAATTCTTTAGACATTAAGCAACGTCTAGCTTCTGCTTTTATCAGGCCCTTTGAATGTGATTAAATCAGATCCAGAGGTAAGCCAAATAAACTCCCGGGTTTCTGGGCTCCGATATTTGGTCCATCGACAGATGCTTTGAAGTCTGGTGACAAGGTAAGAATTGGGTCTTTCCTGCCCAGTCTTTCCCACTCCTGCTGCCTCTTGAAAATCCAGTTTCCTACAGCTGACCTATGAAATTTGGATGTTCGAGTTTATTAAGGCAGGAAGGAGATTACAAGTGGATCCATCCCCTGCCTGTTCCCAAGCTCAGCTTTGCTCAGCTGTGACTCCAGGCTTTGGCCCCTGTTCCAAAGGACGGATCTTCACCCAAGCGAGGGTCACTGCAACCATGCACATCACCAGTGGTCTATTCCAGCACTCCCACCCCAAGATAAAATCCGGATTGCACAGCTTTATGCCTGGAAGTGCCTGCCTCTACGTGTGCAACCAGCAGCCAGTCCCAGTGCCCTGCCTGTACCCAGCTTTTTTGTTGACTTTTTCATCTCTGAAGGCATCAGTTGATTAACCGGTCATCACAAGACTTCTAAATCTTCAGTGGGAAGTTTTGTGCTGCTGTTCCCACTTCTGCCACGGGACCGACGAGGCTTTTGGAGATTGTGGGTCAGCACAACCTATGGTAAATCTGGCGCTGCTGCTGGGCATGGCTGGTGGCCCCCCCAGGGGTGTGTGGAAGGCCACCTTCTCCTGCACCTTCCCTCCTTCAGTGAGAGCTGGCTCCCAGCATTGCTCACAGCCTCCCTGGGAGAAGAAATTATAATGATTCATTTGGACCAAGACCGTATCATTTCACGCCTTTCTCCTCCTTTCTGGAGTATAAACTTTCAGCCAAAACCCACACAGATGTGCTCCAGAGAAGGAAATAATCTGCAGATGTTGACTGTTCCCAGCTCTTGCCTCGCCTAAAAGGGGCCAGTGACAACTTCTTGGGTCCTTGCCAGGTTTCTGGGCTGACTTGTCTTAATCACAACTTTGTTTTTTGATAACGTCACCGTTGGCCAAGTATGTACAGAGTTGTGTATTGTCCCCTGAGCTGTCGAGACAGAGAGATGTTTAATACACAATAGCTATTATTTCCCAAATAGCTATGCCCTCAAGGCTTGTGGGATCTCCTTACAGGAACTCAGCTTCCTGCCATCTAGGACAGTGCTGTGTATAGGAGGGAGCATGGTAAAATGGCACAGGGAGGCGATTTTTCTTTTCTAAATATTGATGTTAAACAGCGTAAAACCACATTAATGAACAGAACAGCAGATCTGCCTGAGGGCAGTGGGACGAGCTTCTCTGCAGGATTTTGCAGAACGATGCCAGCCCCTGTCCTGGCTCCTGCCCTTCTCTGCTGGCTCGTAGCCTGCGGCTCAGCACAGCCCTGCCCTGGGCACAGGTGCCTCTGCAGCACATCATACAGACACCATCGGGAAGGGAAGGTGCTGGGGGCAACGAAAGTAAGGTCTAGGCAATGGTACAGGGTCCCTCCTCCCAAATTACCCTGTGCCAGGGCAGCGCTGAGCCCACGTCAAGCTGAAACGGCTGGGATTTGGCTTAAAGCTCGCAGAACGTGTCTCCAGGGGAAATTAAGGAAGCAAGTTAACGGCAGCATCTTTTATTTTCATACAGCACTTAAAAGCAACAGATGCACGTAATTTTTACTTTTGGCTCTCTAATCTTAGGCTTTCATATCAAATGGCAACTGGCACTTGGAAAGCTCATTTTTTAGTGGACTGCAGAGGGAGAAAAGCATCGACCAGATGCACTGAGTTTATTTTCTTTTTGACCAACTCGCCCAGCTCTGGTGATGCCAATTAATCCAGATTTCCAGAACTGCAAAGGAAAATGGGAAAACACCACTGACTTTGCTGTTCAGTTATGTTTGATCAAGTGTGTTTATTACCAGTGTGGAGCCAGGACAGTTTTGTGTGGCATTTGCCTGGCTGCTCCTGCAAGGGGCCGGGGGGGGGGGGGGGGGGGGCCCCCCCCCGGGGGGGGGGGGTTGTGTTTTTGTGTGGCATTTGCCTGGCTGCTCCTGCAAGGGGCTGGGGGGGGGGGGTGTTGCACCCACAGCCTGTGTGGGTGTTGTTGCTGAAGAATGAGCATTTTCTGAGACTCCACAAGCCAAGAGGAGCTGGCTCGGTTGGTGGTTGTCTGACAGAGTAGCTGAGGTTTAATTTTCCTTAAAATGCCTCTTGCGAATAAAGTAGTAACCATCTCTCTTTGAAACAGCAAAAGAGTTGTGGGGCTGCTCATCCCTCCTCTGTGGCTTTGGCTTCCCTTTTTGCCAAGGGACCAGCAGAAGGTACCGAGATGTTGTGGCCCCACAGCTCTCAACTTGCTCCTTGGTGGAGGGCTTCGTACCTTCTTCCCTCCAAGTGCTTTGGAAATGGTGCTGTGTACGGAGAAAGGAAAAAATGCAGTGGGTGTTGCCTTCCCACAGAGTCACCGTTCTAGCTGAACAATTTTAACTGTTGATACGGAACCTTTATTTTGGTAAACTTTCCGCTAAATGTCAAACTACAGCCATTTTTCCTGTAACTGTGCCTTTGAAAGCACAATTATTAATATTACTGGTATTATTTTATATGACTTTAGCAATGTGAAGCAGTTCATTTCTCCATGAGCAGTTCATTTCTTCATCTAAGTCTGGAAGGGAAACTTCTTCATTTTACTTCAAAAAAATTATTTTTCGCTAAACATGAAGGAACAATGAATAATTTGACACATGAACAAGGCAAATATTTTATTAAGGCTCTGAACACTGAAGAGTGATATCAGGCATGGGTCAGCACTTTTTGCTACACTTGTGTTCCCTGGGATAAAGCTGCTCCTAACAGGGCTTGGAAAAACAACTTGGAAAATGCTTCCCATTGCTTAATCCCTGGAGAAGTAAGGGATAAGCAAAATCTCAGCTGCTCTCACAAAAAAACAGCTAAAAAGCAAAGTAATCTATAACGGTAGAGTTCTATAGGCAAACTGTAAATGATACTGTACGTTGCCGAGTGCCACACGCTGAGACAACTATTTCCAATTTGTCAAGAGTCGCATTTCTTATATCCCAGCGGGCAGGGCTTTATTTTTCATCCCAACTCTAATTAACACGTTGATAGATCTCTGTGTCTCGCAGCTCCCGGTGTGTTGGTGGCCGTGCCAGCTGTGTCCTTGGGGAGGGGGGGGGACGACAGCTGGTGGGGTCCACACTGGGGGTGCCGGCTGGGACAGGGTGGGCAGTGATTCAGCTGTCCCCTTGAGCTTGCCTGTTCTTTCCTCAGGCTGTAAAACCTCCTCGGAGCTGCCACGTCGTGTCCCTGGGGGTGGGACGGCAGCAGCCGCCGGGAAGGTGGGTGGCTCATCCCGAGCACCGCAGCGGCATCGCGCCGGGGGGACCCGTGGCCCCGGGAGGCACCGACGGCTCGCACGTAAGTACAGCTGCTGGCCAGGAAAGCACTTTAAGGCTTTACAGGATTGCCTTAAACTCCTCCAAAAGGGATCCCGGCGTTCAGCGAGGAGCTGCAATCCAGCGCCGATAAACCCCAACCTCCTGCTACAAATAGTTTTACAGCTGAGGGCACGCTCGTTTTCTTCCTCCGGCTTCACGGGGAAGGTTTAAAGAATTTTAGGGTGAGTTTAAAGCTGGTTTAATTCCGCTAGCGTCGGTGCAGATTAAATAACCGCAGCGTAAACACAGAATCCGTTTTGGAAACTCCTCAATCTTTTTTAGGGAGCTACGTATAAATTTGGATTATCGCTGAAGGGAACGTGCCCAAGTGAACATTATTACCCAAAAGTTTCTATCAGCCCGCTACAGGAAAAAATCCTTTTCTTCCTTCTCTTTACTTATTTTTAAAGTCAGCTGGCTGCAGTTCAAACAGGAAAACACATAATAAAATAAATGGGGCAAATTCAAACAGCCAAAAGCATAATGAAACAAATGAGACAAATTCCTTGAACTGCACCTAACATGAAAACGAATCTCAGCTGCTCATTAGAAACCACCGAGTAGGGGATGTCAGCAAATTAAATCATCGGAAGTAGAGGGAGGCAGAGAAAAAAGGTTGATTATCTAAATCTCCTCTTATTAACTGCAAAATGTTTTATTTTTTCAAGATTGAAGGTAGTAAAATATGTTAGTGGCAAATGACAAAACCTCTTTATGCACTTAAAGTAAAAAGTGAGGAGCTGGGCAGAGCCGAGGAATGGGTAAACAAGGAACATACCACTTTATTTTCAGGGTGGATTAGCGGTGAGTAATTCTCACCCACTGTACACCCAGGCGTCTGCTTCCTTACCCTCTCTGGCAAAATTTACACCTGGTTTCCCCATGTAAATTCAGATTTTGCTGCGAATTGGAGTGCTGGTCATGTGGGAAGAGGATCTGGGGGTGTCAGTGTGCCCGTCCGAGGCTCACACGTGTCATCTGAGCCAGGAAATCAGTGTGGGCTTCTGGGACAAGCAAAGTTTTTAAAGCTCTTCCATCTACTTGTTACAAGGCTCTTTTCATCATTGTTGTTGTTTAACATACTTGGTTTTGCTGTTTTTCCCCTTGAAAGCACCCTTGCTGTTTGAGAGGGAGGGCACAGGGTCTGCCTCGGTGGTGGTGTGGGTGGAAAATCCCACTTTGGGTCCTGCTCTGGAGGTTGCTGCTGGTCTTTGGGACTGTCTCAAGCACAGCAATTAGCAGGCACTACTAATGGACCTAATGGCTCTGGTAGCAGCACACGCTGGAGGAGGTGCATCACCATCAGCCTTCGCGACATCTCCTCCTGGAGATGGGACACGTAGAGATGTGGCTCATGGGATGCAAAACCAAAACATGTCACGAGTCGGATGTTATCCTTGGCTTGAGCAGCAAGGAAGGTGAGCAAAGCCAAGCAGCTCATATTATCCTTGAAAAGAGGGCTGGAAGAGGAGCCAGAGGATCTGCAGCTGTTCAGCGTGATGGCTGTCCCTAGAAATCCCCTCTTTGAAAAGGAGTGAGCACCAGTAAGAAGATAAGGGGATGTCCAGGTGGGTGGGAAATTGGTTATGCAGTTGGTCAGAAAAATTATCAGCAGTTCACCACCAGAAAGGGAGGTAATGACAAATACGAACCTGAGTCCACTGCTCTTTTGTGTTTCTGTTTATGATGCGGGTGAGGGATGAGGTTGTTGTTGTTCGATGTGCAGCTGGGAGGGACTGGGAGCACAAAGGAGGACAGAATTATTATTCAAAGGGACAGGAGAAGTACTTTGGAAAGAATCCCTGAGCAAATCCCGTGGTTTGTATTTCAGTGGTCACTGGTGAGAAAATGCAGGGTCCATGGGGCCTCACTGCGGGGAGGGAGCCGTCCCAGCTGTACTGGGAGCTGGGGCATCTCAACAGGATCTCAGTTTTCTCTCTTGGCTGCTGCACTTCAACAACAACAGGGCTTGGCTGGAGACAGTCCAAAGGGAGCAATAAAAATAACGAGAGGTGGCTGGGACGGAACCTTAGGGGGGAAGTCAGATCTGATGCAGTTTGGGCATTAAGCCTGGGACTTGCAAGAAAGAAGAGGGCTTCTTTCTCCTTGCCAGTTTGGACAGGATGTGATGGACTTAAACTGCAATTTTTAGAGGGGGTGAAAATGCCTTTGTGCACTTTTCAAGGTACAGCCGGACATTTCCTGGTAGCACACTCCATCTCCCCCTCTCCCGACTCTGTTTCAGCCAGGTTTAGCACAACATCCATTCCAGCAACTCACGTGGCTTTCATGAATTAAGTACCTAGCCCATGGGAATTATACCATTATCTTCAGAGGAACTACAAAAATAAAGAGTGTGTTTATAAGGTTTATATTGTTTTCACTCTACCATCAGCATTCCCTTTAAGAACATCAAAAGATTAAAAAAAAAAATGGATAGAGGCATCTGCCAGCATCTCTGGAGATGCATGTTGCACTTTCTTCTAATCCAGCCCAAGTCTTTGGAGCCCCTCCATGCCTTCAAGAAATGGGGGAATTTTTCTTTTATTTAAGAACCGTCTAAAGACCCTTTTACTGGGTTTTAACAGAGCCCTGTGTCAGCACAGTTAAAAAATTCTGGCATTTCTTCTGCGCAGATTAAAGATGATAGATCACCCTTTGCTGCTCAAACCTGATTTACAGCTCCTAGCACAAAATTGCGTAATACTTTTTAAAAGGTGCAGTAGCAGGGCCAAGGACGTGGAGCAAAGTCCAGTAACGCAGAGCAAAATCCAGGCACGTGCTGGTTTTTACCTCTCCTGCATTTGCTATTCCTTCTCTAGGTCTGAAAGAAGAGCTGCAAGGAGCAACCTGTCCTCTCCTGTGCCCTTCTGACCCCCAGCCATGGCATCGCCCATGAAGAACTTGCTCACAGACCCCGCCAGGTACCTCCAGGCTTTCCGCCTCTTCCTCGCGAAGTCAACGGAGCACCAGAGCATGCAGGAGTTTGTGGAGAGGCAACTGCCGGCCGTGATAGACAGGTAAGGTGGTGGTGACCACATCGAGCTGAAGGACAACCCCAGGGCATTGGTCCCATGGTAGGGATGGGCTTGGGGGGGGGGGGCTGCCTGTGAGAGGCAGATTGCTGTTCCCCGCCGGCTGCCCCGTCTGTGGGTATCTGATAGGGCTTGGCTGGAGATTTCATTTGCACACACCAAGGAACGGCTGCTGGTCGGGATGGAGCTTGCCCAGCAGGGAGGAGATAAGGCTGAATTGTTTCCTTGCATGCAAATACAGCTTACCCTGAATGAACTCCAACACGTGCATAACGCAATAACAGATATTACATTCTAACATTAAGTTTGACTGAAACCGTCTTTTAAAAATTAACCTTTTCAGTCAGTATTTAGGCTCTCTCTAGTATGCGTGAATGAGACTCCTGCTTTGCTTGGTGGTGGGTGTTTTTCACTGGACTGGCTCGGGCAGCAGGCAGCTGGGGCCAAGTCCTGGCTCTGGGGAGGTCCTGCTCTGGGCTCGGGGTTTTATGGCTCTGCCAAAGCCTCGCTAAGGGATTTTAAGCATGTTACGCTCCCCCCTTCTCCCTTCCCACTTTGCCAAATGTAAAACTTCTACAAATAATTTTGAAGCTGCTGGTCCAGACCCCTGGAGGTCTCTGGTCCTCGAAGCACAGACATAGAGAAGGCGTGTACCTGCTACTTTATATGCAAAATAATTTTGAAGCTGCTGGTCCAGACCCCGGGAGGTCTCTGGTCCTCGAAGCACAGACGTAGAGAAGGCATGTACCTGCTACTTTATACGCGCTCATAAAAACGGAAATCCTCTACAAATTGCCAAAATAGGAAATAAATAGGAAATAGAAATAGGAAATCAGGAATCTCCAAAGAGCAGAGTTCTGAATCTGATCCCTCCTGCCAGCTCACGGCCATGCCTGGTTCTGAATCTGATCCCTCCTGCCAGCTCACAGCCATGCCTATACATACACACATTGTATTTGATTTTGTCCTGCAGATTTTAGCCTTCATGGGCTCTCCAGTGCTTCACAAAATGCATCTATCCCTCTCTACTGGGTAGCTCTCCTAAAATGTGTAAATAATGTTTTTCAGTATTGGAAATGGGAAGTCTACAATCAATATTCTAAGCATTGGTGGTGGATCAGGTATGCTATGGACTTCATTCTTGATACAGTTTCACCTTCCTTTTCAAAGAATAGAGGATTAAAAATGGCAGAAAGGAGCAGAGTGGGAAATAAGTCTTGAAAAGTCAGCTCCAGGGGACAGATGGTGTTAGCTGGTGTGTGGCCACATTGTCTAAAAACAGCCTGTGCCTCCCCACCCTGATTCTTGTATGTCCTCCATGAGAACCCTCCTTCTGCACTGTCACTTCTCAAAGGCAGAGAGAGGCTTGAACTGCCCCTTTGTGTTTCTATGCAAAAAAAAAAAAGCACCATAATGTCTTAATATGTCATAAAAAATGTAGTAATCCTAAATTTTTACTTGCATTGTAATGACTCTCCACAATGACTATTTACTGGTGCCGTAACTCCCCATTCTTCCTGCCTCCTGCCTCTGTTTTGCCTGTACCTACTTTCTGACCACTGTGACTGTACAACCTTCCACTGGGACCTACTGTCCCCCAAATCACTGGAGCTGAACGTAAGCTCCAGAAGAAATCAGAAAAATAAGTCCCTTATCTGAAGTTCACTGGGTGGAAAACAATAACAATAACATCAAGTAGCTTCTTCTCATTAAAATCTTGCTTAAGTTCCCCCATAATTAAAGCCTATGTTTTCTAATTCTGCGCTACCCATTAAGTGATCAAACTTAAATTTTATATGAACAGTCAATTTAGGTTAAATGCTTTAGTCCTACCTTCTCCAAAGACTAATCTCAGCTTGGTTGATCTCTCCTATACGTAAAAATAATTGTATGTAAATGGTGGGCTTTAGTTATAAAACAGACAGTGTGGCAGAGTAGGAACATTGCTCTCCAAAAAAGGGAAACCATTCTTCTGCCAAAAGAAATGTTGTTTTTTAACAGGAACACTTTACTTAGTGAGGTCCTCAACTCCGTAACTCCAGCTTAGCATGGTGGATATTCAATCAATAACGTGCAGACAAAGCTCATTTTGTGATGTAAAAAAGAAACCTCAACACCACAGAAACCCTACTGGCTTGTTCCCACCCTGGGTCCTTGGTGGGGTCAGGAGGGACCAAAATCCCAAATTCCCCCAGCTAACCCCGGCGAGGGAGCTGCCCTGGCCCCATCTGCCCCTGTGCTTCACGGGGAGGGAGCACGGAAAGAAAGCATTTCCTTTCCACTTTTCCACCTCAAGAGACAAGCAAACCATTTAATGTCACATCATATCCCATTACACCCACCCATCCACGGCGCCTGCCTTCGCCTACAGCCTCTGCCTTATTAAGTTCACACTCCAGCGCGCAGCACTCTGTACCTTTAAAAACCATAAAAGTCATCAACGTCGCTATAAAGTAGCAACTGTGCTATAAACTATCCCGTTACGTAAAATGTTTAATTAGAAACTTAATGGTGAACATAGTGGTAGCCTTTAAAAGGTAATTGTGTTGGAGAGTTTAAATAATTCGGATAGCCTAATTGCCAAATTGTTGATAATGCAAGCTGCCACATATTTGACTGTAAAATGCCTCAGGACACTTGTTTGCATATAAAAGAGCTAACTGAAGTCAATTAAGGCTGTGGATTAAATTATGAATCAAAGGGGTGGTTTTTTTGGTTAAAAACAATACAAGGGTGGTTTGGCCACAGAAGAGTGGAAGGAAATATATTAACCTAGCTGCATATGGAAACAAGAAATTCAAATATTTTTTTATCAGGACCCGCACAGCCTTTTCAAAGGGCTAATCCATTTTACAGGAAGTTGGTAAAGCAACCAAAAATCAAAAAATATTGCAGTAGCTCATTAAAAATTCTGTGTTCCCGGATTTTACCACAGCAGCCTGCAGACGACTGGCTTTGCTCTGATTTTTCAACAGAATACAGGGTTTGCAGTGATAGCAAAGCTGCAGCTATTTCTGCTCCTTCAGAAATTCAATTTCACTCCCTCAAAGAACATGCTTGCACAGATGCCACATAATTTTTGGTGTTATTAGTTGCTTCAAGAAAGACACATATTTCTAAAAAAATTGAACTCTTCCTGAGTTTTTAAGTTAAATTCTCAGGGGGCTAATGAGCAGGTGAGACCTGGGCTGGGGTGCCTGATTTTGATGCGTGGTGCTGTGTGGTGGGGCCTGAAGCAGGCAGAGAGCTCCTTGTAGGGAAAAGGACCCTCCCTGGGAGAGGACCTTGTGTGCTGGGTTGAGCTCTGGGGAACACATTACAACTATTTACACCAAACACTTTCCTTTTATACCTCAAATCTTCTGTATAATGGAGCTAACGCTGAAGTGGTGGGAACTCTGGGGCACTGAAAATCCTAAGGATGGGTAGAGACCATGTAAACATGATGGGAGCACTCACCCCACAGTCCCTCAGCAAGGGCATCTCTGGCCGTCAGGGTTTACTGGGTGGTCTTCCAGTCAGTACATAATTTTGTTCATTTGTAGGGAATTTTATAAGGTGGAGTTGGGCATGCTCTAGTACCCAAGATTATTGGTTTGCGGTGGGATGTTGTGTGGGTGGGTGATGGTTTTTGTGGGTTTTTGGTTTGGTTGGTGTTGTTGTGTGTTTAGGTGGTGGGTGTGTTTTGTCTTGTTGTTTTTTGGGGGAATTTTTTTGTTGGTTTTTTTTGTGGGTTTTTTTTTTTTATGGTTGGACTCGATGATCTCTGAGGTCCCTTCCAACCACTACGATTCTGTGATTCTGAGTTGTGTGCAAGCACAAGTACATCTTTAATGACAAAGCTCAATATTTGTCTGCAACATGCCCCCTGGGTCTACTTTTCACCTCTGCGTCACTCTTTCTACCTTAATTTATTCTTCTATTATTTTTTCCATCTAAAATTTATTCAAGCACAATAAGCAGAAGTGAGTCATAAGAAAGCTAAGCAAGCTAGCACAATATTGTCCCTGGACCCATGACTCAGTCGGGAGCATCATCTCCCTGAGCTTCCTATATTGTGAGTGGGGAGAGGTGGCCAAGAGCGATGGTACCTCTTTTTAAATTTTGAAATGTTGGGTCTATTGGTACTTCCAGCAGTAAAATAATTGCAGCTGGCCTGAACGGTGTCCAGAGAAAACGACTCCTCACAAAGAAACTACAGTCAGCTCTGGGGTATTCTGTAAACAGGGGTTAGGTAAATATAGATGGTATGTGCGCTCTTTATTGTAGTTATGGAAAAAGTCACAGGACACTGAAGACAAACAGACATGAATGTTGTTTCTGAGCCCAGTGTAAACACATATTCTCTGCTCCCTCACCCGCATGATCTTGTAAGCAGTAAGATCTTGTAAGATTTTTAGCCAAGAGACACTTGGCTAAAAATGCTCTCACTGACTCCAAAGAAATCCTGCCAGGTTCACTGGTGACTTGGGCCCATCAGAACTAGCACCATCAGAGCCATTTATGGTCTTCCCTGGGAGGTTAGGTTGTGCCCAGAAAATATGCACATAACTGTGTCTGGTTTTCCCCTGGAACTGGTGGTGGTAGTCAGAGAGGAGGGATGAAGATGGTTGGGACTGATATTTAAATTTTTCTTAAATCCTAGAGCTAAACCCTCAGTGGCAATCTGCTGAGAATACAAAGCAGCTACATTGTACCTGGGTGGTACATTTTCTGTAAAGGAATGGCAGGCATAGGTCTTCAAAACTGAAAATGTGATGGTGGTGAAGGTAACATCTGCCTGAGCTTTGCTTTTATCTTTTGTTTCGTGTTGCCTGCTTCCCTAGGTGAGATTGACCTGCTGATCATCTCAAAGGTACAAGCCAGATATCCAGGGGTCACCATCAACAACGAAGTGGTAGAGCCAAGTGCTGACCAAATCTCCAAGTACAAAGGTATTTTTACATTAAATGAATTAAATTTACATTAAGTACTCTAAATGCATTTGAAGAGTTGAACGCTGGATGACCCCACATTCAAATGCTTTCTTGTCAGAATGGGCTTTTAAAAGTTTAAAAAGTCACTGTCTCCTGCTTTTTTGCCATCATTGCTTTTCAACAATGCTCAGTGTCTCATTAAAATCTTAGTCTCTCACACTGCAAAGAACTCTCTACAGCAAACACTTAGACTAGACAGACTTTAAAAGCAGTGGGAACTGAGGGGTGATTGTATGGGAATAGAGTAAAATCCCCATGCTTCAGAAATTTTTTCTTCTTCAACTTGCACTGAATCAGGATCCTTCCTCAACATCGAAGGGAAAATATTAGTGTCTCCTGGTAATTCTCGCATCTCTTTAAAATCGTTTCCAAATAACAAATAGCTAAACCTCAGAGTCTTGCACTAAATTAGTTACCATCTTTTGAATTAGAAAACATGGAAAGGAGAGTAAAATGGAGAGGGAAGATTTTTGCTGTGTGCTCTGTAGCTTAGAGCTTGTTTCCTTCCACCAACCCAAAGGTCTGAGCAACATTCGTGAAGGAAAGCCAAGCATTTTCCAAGGAGGATTTGGACCAAGGGGTGCTTTGGTCAAACTACCCTACAAAGCCAGCATTAAATATCAATCCACAGCTGTATTATCACTGGATTAACACCTGCCAGGCTTTACCTTAGCAGGTAATTATGGTCTTGTATGGAGGTGACACCAGCTACTCTATACAGGCTGTGAGGAGCCCGGAGCAGAGCACACCTTGACAGAAAGAGGTTGCTGAATGGATGTGGCAGTAATGAATGAACATCGTCAGCAGTCTGCGTCGTTGGAAATGCTCCAAAACATAGTAAATATCAGACTGTAAAACCACACTGCGAATCTCAAACTCTTAATCTTGCTTAAATCCTTAAAAGCAAAGCAATCCCAGTATTAAGGAACTTGTGGAAGTCAAAGGAAAAAAGAACACAAAACCCAAAAAAGAAACAATCCCTTTCTCCCTGCAGTGGGGGAGTTCAGAGTCACCGCAAACACCAAAGGCTCCCAAGAAGCACATCTTATATTTTATATCTGCCTCGTGTTTGCCTCTGTGTTACATGGACCTGGTCTTTGAAAAGATGGTTTGTGCAAAATCCCAGTATCTTTTACATTGCTCAAGGCTGAGATGGTGAAGGATGAGCAACAGAGCATCTGCTCGAAGACAGTTTGGGAACTGGCACGTAGCATTTCTGACCTGTCTGGGCTGTGGACCATAGGCTACATGAGACTGGATCTGCAGTGAACCTTCCTGGTGATTTCACCACCTACCACCAGTTAACTGGGAGTCCTATCCTACTTCAGTGAGTTTCTTTGCAGAAGAAAGTTAAAGAAAATATAAGATGTTGTCCTTATTTTAAGTTTTATGCTAAGCTAGAAATGAAATATTCATCTGAATTTCTTTCTTTAAACTTTCTTATTTGGTAATTAATCATGTCCCCAGTAGGTATCATTAATTAGGTTTCTGAGCCCTAAGATTTTCCGGGGAGAATTGGAAACATTATCTGTGCCTCTGAGGATTCAGTAGTTATGTTTTCTGCCTAACCAGATACTTTCTCCTTGGGAAGGAAAAGCCAAGCTCATGAGAGAAACTTCTTACTGGGACATGCAGTGGTGACAAACGGAGGTTTATCTTAGACTGCATCCTACGATGGAGCCTCTCCTCAAAGCCCCATGGCCAGGCTGTGGCTTTCCTTCATTCCTGGTCCATGACCAGGTGAAGTCCCTTGGTGACAGTGGTTGGAGTGTTGGTGGCCTCACAACTGAGCTGTGCTGCCATTGCCTGCATGGTACAGCACAACTGCAGGCATTCTGGCTGCGATGGCACCCGCCAAGGGCACACGACCTGCTTCTGATGCTGACAACAATCTGAGTTGAATCCAGGAGAAAATTAAGGAAAACTTTTCAAAAGGGTTAAGGTGATGCGTTTTGGCTTCAGATGAATCTTTGGACATAAACTTCCCATAATCAGAATGAGCTTCCCTTTCTGAAATGTTGACTTTAAAAGCCTGCCCGAGCAAGCAATTCAGTTTTCTTCCTGGTGGCTCCTTGCAGACTGTCTAGCAATTGAACTGAACCAGATTGCACCAGATTATTTGTGATGGTGATATGAAGTGCTGCCGAATGAAGCCCGAGTTTAAAACAGCAAATTAAATCTGAACTGCAAGCGCCGGGGCCAGGGACTGATAAATGGAAGCGAACAGAGTAACAGCAGCAGCCTCCGAAAGGGGTGGCCCATTTCCAGCCATAAAAGAGAGGAGATAAGCACTGATGGAGCATTTCTCATCTGTCCGACGGGGATGTGTCTTAATCAGAGCCCAAAAGGAGAAACATTGTGATTAGTGGTGTAAAGGCGCTGGTCGTAGCAAATCATGTTGGTTTGAACATGTGTTCTGTAGCTAAGGCTCAGTCTGCCTTTGGGCCATGTAAGTTTTAAATTTATGTTAACTCCAGCGAAGCACAGGAATGGCATCAGGGCCAGCTTTGTCCTGGAGCAATCCCGAGCGCCTGGCAGGAGCACGCTGCGACGAGCTCCATATGCCAGCAGATAGACATTAGTATTCCAGCAGCCCCTAAAATATGAAATCATCCCTCAGTTCTGCTCCCATAAAAGCAGAGAAATGCAGTGTTGAGCCAGGCTCATGGTATAACTTGTTCCTTGAATCCGCTTCTCTGGCTTTCTGCGTTCCTCACTTGCTGGACGTGCATTGTATTGAGGTCTGAAAACACATCATGTATCACTCTTTATACTAGTCTTTATTTTAACACACTGTTACCCCTTTTATCTGAAGAAGTTGACCAAAACTGTGGGCTCTTGAAATATTATTTGAACACAGCAGAAGCTGAATGTCAAGAGATGGGTCCTTGCTCATGGAACAAAGCTCCTTGTCTCTCCCCCCCAACTCTGTGATGTGAGCCATTTCCTTTCTCTGCCCTTTTCAAGCCTTTAATTGTGCTTTCTCTCCAAAACACAACCCACTTGATCCATTCTTGAGCCCCTGTATTTATTTGTTCAGTCTCTGGAAAACCCTTTGCCATGACCTGGCGCCTGCTCAGCCGTGTGGGTCTTGCATGGCACTGAAGTGAAGAGGCCATCAGCTCTTTTCCCTTTCAGCAGGAAATGTGCTCCTCGTGGCCTCATAACTGTTTATCCCAGCCAACATCTTCTAATGCAGCTTGAGCCAGTCATGGGGAAGAGTTTCTTTCTTTTTTTTTTTTTTAAAATCAGGTAAAGACTGGAGGAGCCAAAATGAGGGTGCAAAGATTAAAGCATCAGACCCTCTTAAGAATTCATCCTACAAAGACCTTTACAGCCCCCTTCTCACATACGGGCTCAAGGTTTTACACATTCCACTGCTGTGTTAAACCGGTACCAAAACTCTCTGCCTAAATATGACTTTTGGATGTATTAAAGCTCTGAATGGAAATCCGTCCCATATTTGCAATTGAGATAACTCTGTCCTGCCTTCTCCTGTGTTTCAGAGCGTGTGGCTAAGACATCAAACCTCGAGAACGTAAAGTTTACCTGGCATGAAGAGACAGCTTATGAATTTGAAAGTCGAATGAATGCAGAAAAGAAGCCTAAAAAATGGGACTTCATTCACATGATCCAGGTAAAAGACTCTACAAAGTAAATGTTGTCAAAAACTTGGCTGTTAAAAGTATGCATGAAGTATGTGACCTCATTATCCACTCTAAGGGGAAGAAAGGTGAGTTTATTTCCCTGTAATTTAAAGTACTTAAGCATAAGTGAACTGCAAAAAAATGAAAGATGAGTTACAGCAAAGCAACTTTGAGCACAGTGGTCCTATTAACTAGGCTGTGGGTGGCAGTCAACTAAAAATACATTTTAACTAGTGTTTTCAAGGCTCCTTGTCCTCTCTGTGAAATTGCCTTTGTATTTCCAAGTTTACTGAAGCCATTAAAAGCCATCTTCAGTGCTAAGAAAGGCAAATCTTTTTATCTCAGGTTAATGAATGAACATGAGCTTGGTCCTGAGAGAGGTGGAGAGTGGGGAAGGCAGTGACAGTCCCAAGCTTGCAGCGTGAGCCCGCTGCCCAACGTTGTACTAACGTGTCTCATTGTCCTGCTGCTCTTCTGTCAAGATTGTCCCCATTTGGGTCCTTTTACCTAGCGGTACCTATTATAATATTCACTAGGACCACGCTGTATCTCTCTAAGCATTTGTGCTCTTTCCAGATGCTCTATTATGTGAAGGACATCCCAGCGACTGTGCGGTATTTCCACAGCCTCCTGGAAACACAGGCGAAGCTCCTTATCATCCTGGTGTCAGGTGAGAGCTGCTCCACTAGCACTGCTTGGTCAGGCAAGAGCCATGAGGACTTTTGGGGGTTCCTGCAAGTTCAAAACAGTCCAGCTAGAAACCAATTGACATTTTTATTTGAAATATCCTTTATCACCAATAAAGGTGAACTGGCTGAGTAATCAACAGTGTCCATTCACCTAAATCCCTTGAAGTCTGCACGCATCTATATCTGAGATGTATAAACAAGACACTTGTATGTTAAGTGAGTAATGTGAAGACTGATGAATTCATATAATGATAGAGTCACAGAATGGTTTGGGTTGGAAGGGACCTTAAAGATCATCGAGGTCCAACCCCCCTACCTTGGGCAGGGACACCTCCCACCAGACCAGGTTGCTCAAAGCCCCATCCAGCCTGGCCTTGAACACCTCCAGGGATGGGCCATCTATAACTTCCCCGGGCAACCTGTTCCAGTGTCTCACCACCCTCATAGTGAAAAATTTCTTCCTGATATCTAATTGAAATCTCCCCTGTTTCAGTTTAAAACCATTACCCCTCATCCTAACACTACTAGCCCTTTACAAAAGTCCCTCTCCATCTTTCCTGTAGCCCCTTTAGGTACTGGAAGGTTGCAATAAGGTCTCCCCGGGGACTTCTCTTTTTCAGGCTGAACAACTCCAACTCTCTCAGCCTGTTTTCATAGGAGAGGTGCTCCAGCCCTCTGGTCATCTTCGTGGCCCACTCAAACATTCACAGTGTTTCCTGCACAGTTCTGTGCTGCAGGTTGTAAAACTGAAGGCTTGGTGAAGCTGCAAACCTGTGCCATGGGCACAAAATGCCTTTCCCTCGCCCTCTGCCCTTCCCATCCTACCACCTGGACATTGACGGGTGGCAGCAGAGGGCCCTGTCCCACTGCTCTGGCTCGCAGGACCTCCCTCAGCCTCTGCTATTTTCTGTAAAAGGCTTTTCAGTCTGGGCACCTCATTATCTCGCTCCCCGAGACTTGTGGCATTAAGCAAACAGCTACGGCGGGGCTCGGCGGTGCCATACAGCAGGTGTTAGAGCACATATGGTTCATTTTCTTCTCAAACTGCCCATTTCCTTAATATCATCATTTTGGGTGGAAAACAGCATTCTTAGGCTGTTTTAGATCTCAAAGAGATGCTCTGTGGTCTATCCAGCAAGAAAATGCCAGAGCAGGGTAAACGACAACCTTTTAATACTGTGGACAAAGTATGCTAGAGATACTGCAATGGTGGGGTCTAATTTGACTCTAGAAAGCCTTTAATTTGCCTCACAAGCTATGTGTAAAGTCACATCTGATAGTTTTGTCAGGGATGTTAAGTATTATTTGTTAGAGATTCAAGTTTAATTTTTCATTGAATTTGGCCATGTCTGCAAACTGTAATGTGTTTGATGAAGTTCCTTTTTTATGTTCATGAAGTGTCCACGATAAGTGACACTTTTCTGAACCTGAATTTATTCAAATGGTTTTTCTCAAAATACTTTTGGTTTAAAGTATTTTCAAGCAGTTCAGTACAAGAAACCTGTATTTTAGATCATCTGAGTTACTGTCTTGGTTCTTTGGCTGAACGAGAATAGATCATCAATATCAATAGGTTGGGGGGTTGGAACTAGATGATCTCTAAGGTCCCTTCCAACCCAAACCATTCTATGATTCTATCATTGAATCAGTCTATTGCTGATTACCTGCATGGAGTTAATTGAAACTCTTTTCCAGTTACTTAACTTGTCCCTTTGGATATTCATGAAATGTGAATACAGGGAGGAACAGGAGTCTATTCAACATTAATGTGATTAAAAATCACATTGATGAAAATAATGAATTAATGAAGAGTATTTGAAGTCCTCTCTGGGCCAAGTGACTCTGTGTTTTCTGGTGGAGCAGAATGGAGTAGAAATTGCTGGGGTCCACAAGAAAATGGGAGAGGATAATAGAGCTTGGAAGACTAGGGAGGAAAGGAAGGGGAATATCTTGGGGGAAAAAAGAGTATAGAGAGGGGAAGGAAGAAGTCTTATGAAAATAAGCACTGAAGCAAAAAGGGGTACTGAAAGACAAGCAGAACAAAGCTCATTTCAGAAAATGAAGGTAATGTCATCTCCAACACAAACACATTAGGATGTGTTAATTAAAAACCAGTCTGGGAATAAGACTGATAGGAGAGGGCTTGGTCAGTGGGTGAAGGTGACAATCCCTCCTGCTCCATCCCTGCCGGGAGAGCAGGCATATTGCAAGAGCTATGTGGTGTTATTTTTAACACATTTAAAAAATCTGTTTACATCGCCTGGAAAACAAAAGTAGTGCCATATGCTGAGCCTATTGAGAGCTATTATAATAATGCTTCGTTCAGGTAGAGTATAATTGCTCGGCTCAGAGATGGCACTGAGTCACACAACACTGACACCAGCAAATTTTCTGCAATTAGTGCTCTGCATTCAATTTCCACCAGGTGAAAGAAAATATTGTAGCCTCTCTTCTAAACACCAACCTGTTTATTTGACTGTAAATAACTGTTTGCAGATAAAGCATTTGCAAAACCGCCGAGCAACTGGTTTTAGTAGTTATGGAGATTTATAGGCATAACTCTCAAGAGCTGCTCATTAGGCTCCAAGTTATTTTCATCCTGTCCAGTCATTCTGGGTGATCCTTTTATAGATGATTTATAGCAGAAATGCTGAATCACAGATCTAGCGTGAGAGGAAATAAAGATGTGAAGGCATATCTGGGGAGTTTTCAGCTTACCTAGCCAGAATTCTTTGTAAAATGTCCCTTGAGAAGAGGTGCGTGCACCAGCATGGGCTTAGCATGGGCTCGGTTCTGGAGGTGATTGCAGAGCCTTTTCCTTTCACACCCCTCATCATTGTGTACCCAAATAATATACAGCCAAAACATCCTTCTGGTCCCATTGGGGAGGTCTGGTTGGGGTGAGGGGCAGCCCTCTCATTGGCCATGTTCAACAGCATGTGAGTGTCGTGGGAGTGAAGGGTGAAGGCCAGGAGGATGGTGCAGCTTCATCCTGGACTCTGTCCATCCCATCCTTTTCTCCACCACACATCCAGCTGCAAGGACAATGTCATCAGGGTTTTCATGTAGCAGAGTGGTAGTGTACTGGTAATAAGTGCTTCAATGAAACTTCACGTGAAACTTCAAGCTACTTCACGTGTAGCTTGACCGCAAAGTAAGGAGAAGATTGGATCTTCCAAAGAGGCAGCTGAAATCTAGGGAAAAGTTTAAATCTAGAAGATGGCACTAAATAGCTAGTGTTCAGCATGTGGATTATAGAAGGATGTCCCTGAGATATATTGCTTATGTCCATGAAGCAGAGGGGTGCAGCATGTTGGGAGTGGAAGGCGGGGGGAGATTTAGTGCACTGAGCTGCTCTGATCTCAGCTGGGGGCTCGGTGGGAGGTGCTGGAGCTCCAGGGTAGGTAACATGCCCATCTCCTCCTGCACTGCCCAGCCCCAAGGCACAGAAGCAGGCAGGCAGCCGTCTCCACCATGCCCCAGTTCACATGTCCCAGCTCTGGAGAGACCCCACTCACAACAAGGACAACTGCTGAAAAACACAGATGATCACAAATTTGTTCAAATAGTGTTTTTTCTTATTCCTGAGCATTTTTCTGGTGGATTTTCTTTCAGGAACCAGTGGCTGGGAAACGCTGTGGAAGAAGTACGGGTCTTCTTTCCCCTTGGGTGATCTCTGCTGTTATGTTTCCTCTGCTGATATGAAAAAGATACTGGATTCAGTCGGGCTGAAGTACCAGCTCCACGATGTCCCTTCCCACATGGACATAACGAGCTGCTTTATTGAAGGGGACAAGGATGGGGAGCTGTTGCTGGATTTCCTGACAGAAACTTACAAGTTTTCTAAAACCGCTCCTCCTGAATTAAAGCGTCAGGTAATGGAAGAGTTAAGAAAGCCTCAATGCAGTGAAGAAAGAGATGGGAAAGTTGTTTTTAATAACAACCTGGGTGTACTAGTGGTTGAGCCATGAGTTTACTTCTTGCTTCTTGATCGAAAGGAGATAGATACAAACGGTTAACAGCTGAAATAAGGTTTTCATACTTTATAAATGGCTTAGTTTACTTCAGTACTGAATGTAATTTTTGGAGTCTGTTAACAAATCAGAATTAGTATCTGTTGTTATAAGTGAGGTTTAATACCCAGTAAGTTCTGTACTATCCTATGAATGTATAACTCTCTAAGCAGTTAATAGTACTTTATCATATGAATGTTGTATAATCAGATGTTACTCAGACCACCTACTCAGACATTCCAGAAACCAGACCATTTCCTACGAAAAGAGCTATTTGTGGCTTCATCATCTTCATTTAAAAACTCTTTGCAGACCTAACAAACATATTCCAGCTTCTCAGTGCAGCTGGCAAGAGTGGAGGCTCAGAATGACAACCCATTTGGGTGGCTGCTCAATGGGATCTCTTGAGCTTGCTGTGACTTCAAGATCTCATACCTCCAGTTACCATAAAAGTGTCCTCACGTGTGATGGTTGCCTGTTCTGGCCTCCACAGACAACTCCATTTAGTGGCATTGCTCCCCTCTCCATGTATTTCCACTTCATGTTGATGATGTTGCACCTGCAGGGCAATTTGTGGACAGGTCCGTACTGGCACTGCAAGAGCGAAGGGATTGAAGATGGTGGAGGCATGGCAGTGGTAACAAGTGGCCTGGAGAGGTGGATTTCACTGATGAGCCCTGATGCAAAGCCTTTGTCAGGAATCACCTATGGCTGTCATACAGGGCTTTTGGGTGTTTTCAGCTAAACACACAAACCTCCTGGTCGCAGCCTTTCACCATGCCCTGGCAGCAAGGGCCATGCATAGCTTGTGAGCTTCATAACACAGAAGATGTAAAAACGAACTCTGATGTCAAGCTGATGGGCTTCTGTGGGATTTGTTTAATTTGCAATGGGGTCATGTCAGGTAAATCTGTCGAATATATAGTATGGGATGTTCAGCAAGGAGGTACTTCACTCCCTTGATCCCTTCTCCGTGTGGGGCTGTCTCTACTCTGGGAGTTGATGCATTTGTTTTGCTACATGATTTTACGGTTTTAAGAAGTATTAATAATAATACTATATGGTGGAATACAATATAGTCACTTGAATGCATTTAATAGTATGAATACTCGGTTTATCTGGTGAGACAGGTGGGATTTCTGCCATTGAAGTAATTTGATTCAGTGTTGAAATAGTTTACTAATAGTTTACTTTTAATAGTTTACTTTAAAAATTGCTTTAGCTGCAAGAAATTATGTTTTATTTTTGCATATACATTTCTGATACAATGTAGATTATTAAAGATTTGAAGTGATTTACAAGAGACCGTACTGGGCATTAATAGCTGTTTATATTCATTTTAGAGTCAATTGTTTGAAACACAAACTTCTCCTACTGATCAAATATTAATTCTAGTGGATTTTAGAATGTTTTCATGATATTCCTCAGCTGCTGAAAAGAAAATCTATTGACACTTTTACACAGTGCTATGTACAGATTCCTGCATTAGAAGACCTCAGTATATCTGTGAGTTGTTATGGTGACATGCTGAAGTGGGAAAGAAAGAAAATCTCTCATTAGGACATATTGCTGGATGCATTTCTAATGGGAAACAAATTAGTTACAATTATTTTTGTAGCTCTTTTGTGCTGTCAGTGACCTCTTCTAAATGGTGCGTGTGAAGGAGATGACCGCCGAATATTGCCACATCAACCCTGTCAGGAGTGACATATCTTTGGGAGCCACAGAAATGCCAGGAAAAAAACCCTAAAACTAAAAAACAAATCCAACAAGAAAACCCAGCAACAAGATGCACATGGAGGTCCTGTTGTTTTCTGGTTTGGCAGGGGGAAAAAACACAAGAAAAACATCTTTGTAGGTGTTTTGGGGGAGGTTTGTTCTGAAAACATGGGCGAGAGCAGGAAAGATGAGGAACAGCAGAGATGGTCTGGAGAGAAGAGAGGGGGAGATGACCACCAGCACACACACACACAAAGGACATTCACTGTGAAAGTACATGAGCACTCCTTCCTCTCTTTAATCAGAAAGGGAGAAGCTGGGGAGAGGGAGCACTTGCTCAATGCATGAAGTTGTATGGGGTCTTACTTAAAAGCAGAAGTCACTGGGGGAAAATACACTTTCACCCCAGAGCTGGAGAAGAAACCTCCTGATCTAAAACCAGACACATCACGGAGGTCCTCAGCCACTGCTTTCACTTCTGAGGAGAATTTTTGGTGTTGTTTAGCCTGGAGAAGAGGAGGCTCCAGGGAGACCTTATTGTGGCCTTTCAGTACTTAAAGGGGGCTACAGGAAAGATAGGGACAGACTTTTTAGCAGGGCCTGTTGTGATAGGACAAGGGGTAATATCTTTAAAAAAAAAGAGGGAAGATTCAGACTGGATAAAAGGAAGACTTTTTTGATGGTGAGGGTGGTAAGACACTGGCACAGGTTGCCCAGAGACATGGTAGATGCCCCATCCCTGGAAACATTCAAGGTCAGGTGGACGGGGGTCTGAGCAACCTGATCTAGTTGAAGAGGTACCTGCTTACATCAGAACCTGATCTAGTTGAAGAGGTACCTGCTTATATCAGAAGAGGTTGGACTAGATGGTCTTTAAAGGTCTCTTCCAACCCAAACTATTCTATGATTCTATGAATTTCATTAAAAAACTGAGGGGAAAAAATACATTCTGTATAGGCAGCTTCTTCTGGTATGAGGCTGAGGAAAACTGAACCAGAAGAGAACCCTTAAGGGATATTTTTTTTTTAATTTTAAATTTGTTACACACGTGAATTTCATTAAAAAACTGAGGGGAAAAAAATACATTCTGTATAGACAGCTTCTTCTGGTATGAGACTGAGGAAAACTGAATCAGAAGAGAACCCTTAAGGGATAATTTTTTTTTAATTTTAAATTTGTTGCACACACATTTCCAAGAAGTAAGTACTGTAAGTATTATTTAGTAGAGAAAAATGAGTATGGGGAAGCACAATTTTATGCTCATTTGACCATAAAAAGTGAAAGACTTTTTGTAAATTTCTCAAGCAACTTCCGAAAAGCCTGCAATGCCATATTTTCATGCAATAATCACCCTTAATTGTAAAGCGAGGTATTGTTATTACAGAACACGTATGGGCTGTCCAGCCTGTCCATGGACTGGGATTTATATGACAATTTTGAGCAAACCTGTGTGCTTTCTGCACTGAATTAATTGTTTTCCTCTCAGAAAAATTGTTTTCCTCTCTGCCTTTTCCTCTCTGCCTTATCTCAACCAGCAGAATTTTAGTCCAAAAGCACTTCTCCAAACTAGCCTTGCTCTTTGCAAACCCCCAGGTGGGCCAAGAGGATGGGTCTTCCTCACTTGTGACCCTAGAAAATTAATTTATAGGCTTCACACAGAGGTTCACTGAGAACAACGGTCTTAAACCAAAATTACACTGATTGAAACAAGCTGGGTGTCAGGCAACCTGTATTAAAAATTTACCAGAAATGATCCTGCATGTTCTTCATGCATGGTTGCTCCTTTCTGGCTTAAACGTATGTTTAAGATATTTTGCAGAAATGTGAGTCTGGGTAAATGCAATCTTTAACATTGCATCTATAAGTTTATCAGAGATGGTTCCAAACGGTGTTTGTGTTTAAATTGGGAGACATCCTTTTTTTCTTTTCGTTTCATGGGCGCGTAAACCTGGATATCAGAGATGGTTCCAAACGGTGTTTGTGTTTAAATTGGGAGACATCCTTTTTTTCTTTTCGTTTCATGGGTGCCTAAACCTGGAATTTACAGATTATATTACAGGTACAGGAGAAAACAGCCGGAGGGAGGGAAGGAGAGAGGAGGAGGAGGAACTCTCCTTTGAAACAGCAGGCAAAGACCCAGGCCTGTGTCCCTCTGATAAGTAAGTGTGAGTCCCTGGCTCTGTTGCTGCCTGAGGTGATTATTTCCCAAAGTAATTCCCGGGGGAGGTTTGCTGTGCAGGGAAGGGAATAGCCCCGTGTCCACGGATGAGGCATGACTTTGGAGCAGTGCCACGCGGGAGCAAAAGTGTTGGGGGGGAAAGGCTGACCCCCCCCCCAACCAACGGAGCCTGCTCTTGGCTTATATATCCCCTCCACATCCAACACATCTGCCTGAGCAGCTGCAGGGCCGTTACTTTAAATCATACGTAGGAAAATATTCTCGCAGCTCTGTTAATTACAACAGCAAATTGAACAAATGCACTTACAGCGCGGTTGCTGTCGCCATTTCTGCTTGGGTGTAATTCATGCTTGCAGCCCATGATAGGATTTTTTAATGTCATTACACAGTAGGGCAAAGTCTTCATTTTTAATAAAAATACAAATGCTAAAATGAAATGGATTAATATCTAATTTTACATCTTCATTTACATGATGTGCAAAATTATCTTAAATATTTGTTATGGATGGAGTGGCTTTCCACCAATTTAAGCTTTTTTTCGTACTGGAGAATGTTAACATAAATTGTAGCATAAATCATTGCCTTGTAGAGTACCAGAAGGCGCATATAAAAACCCATATCTTTACTGCACATATTTCCCATTAACCATAATCTATTAGTAATTGAAGTTCATTACAAATTCTTGTAGACTTTATTGCTATCATGCTGCATGACATAGTGAACCTGGCTTGCATAACAAGAAGTCCTTGCTGGGAAATATCCTATTAACAATGACAGTGCATTTGTCATTGTGATAATAAATCCAAAGCTGCCTGTAGATTATAAATTATTGCGGCGCCATTTCCACTGTTGTAGTTTAAAAGTTTTGTCAGCACTTCCATTTTAAACCCCTGCTTTACAGGCAGTTATAACTTCACCATAAAAATCTGCAGCGAGCTGAATCTCGGCTTACAAGGTTTCAGTCCAAGAGCGCGTTTCTTCCCCCACTGAGATTCATCTTTCATCCACATGAAAATCTTAGAAGCAGAAGCTGTGTTTACAGCAGATTTTTTCTTCTGCATTTGCATAGCTTCTAATTGGAAAAACCAAGCCATTCGACAAGCAATTTTCCATAATCTTTCTAGAGATTGTGGTAAAATTTAAAAATACATAAAGACAAAAAGATCGGAGCCAGGCTGAGCTGAGCGTTCTCTGGTTTAACAGCTCAAAATGATTCACTCTTTATATCTAGGTGCCACGGAATTTTGGGGAATTTTGGCAAGCCCCCGCTTCTTTTCAAAGAACAAAAAAAACTGAAGAGAAATAATGCTACCCATATGCCTTGCAAAGGTGTTTTGAGGATTAATTACTAATGCTGAAATTCTGGCATCCACTCAAGTCATCCTTCATCATGTCTATGCAATTCTTTGAGATCTATATAGGTTTTAAGTGTTATTAAAAGAAAATTGCCACAGAGTTGAACTTTAAGTGTTAATTATGACTAGAGATATAAATGACATCAGGTCAAATCTTTCACAATTTAACTCTGTAATTGACTTCAGCTTGCTATACCAAGGGATATCTGTCTACCTGAATGCATCTGCCTGTCATATTTCTCAAGTGCATATAGCAATGCATCCAATTAGCTGGACGTAACCAGTATGCCTCCACTGCTCCTAAATAGTGTAGGATGAAGCCTTCACATCCCTGAAATCACTGGGAAAACTTTCCCAGGTTTTCACATCCTCCTGCAATACGTGCTCTGTCTTGACATATTGCTCGTGTTTTCATGGGTAGGGTAACGGATTTTGCAGTAAATATAACAATTGTCTTTTCACATCAGTAGAGTCTTCCACCTCAAAATGCCCCAAATTACGTTAAAATCTTCATATGCAAACCCACTTCACTTACCACTGAGGTGCAGTAACATCCTGGGTCAAATTCAGCAGCTGTTGGATGGTTCATGGAACCATTTCACAGCGATTTATGGCAGGACAAGGAGAAGGGGGTGGCTGTTGGCAGCCAGAACAGCAATGTCGAGGAACAGAATGCAATTAATCAGGCTGGCACCGAGCAGGGGGGGCACGTGTTAACATGTCTCCTCTGGCCAAAATTGTTATCGGCTTACTGCTTCCCCTCTTCCTTGGCCACAGGGTGGTGGGACATCAAGGTGGGACATGGGTCTGGCTCAGGATGAAGCCCAGTGCCCACCACCATCACCTCGGCACATTGAACAGCTCATCCTGATGGTGGGACCAAGGATGTCTACCACCAATGGGCCTGAGACCAGCTTTTGTGATGCAGTTCTACCTGTTTGCAATGTCCTGGTCCTCCTTCACACTCTCCTACAACTCACAAAGTCAGCCTTTGTTAGCTTGTACCTCCCAAAACCTCTCATTCAAGTTGGCACAATTTCCTTGCACATCAAGAGGC